GTAGATCTTGCTCGTTGCAATGCACTTCACCTCACAAACAAACACGTCCGCTCAGCTCGCCTGTTCGCTCTGAACTGGTTCGGAACCAATCCCTAACTCTTGTTGGAACAGACCTATGGAGTTCGGGCTCCTTGTATAGTCTCCATTACTATTTATCAATAATTGTAATCATAAACCATGCAACACTTGGAACAGAGGAAAAAAATAAAAACCAGTTATTTAATATTTATTACTGACAAACGCCATTATTCCGTGGCTAGAAATTGGCCTCAATGATTTGGGATCGAGGGGAATTATCCCTCTTTATCCTGCCTCATCTCGTATAGGCCTGGACAGCCGAACTATATAGGTTATTTCCATAACCGGTTATTTTTACTCTAGTCTCAAGTGTAACCTATGATCTATGAGTAATCCCATTCCCAACATTAACATTTTTAATGTTGGCTATTCTGCTGCTGCGCAGTTGGTGGATGACACGTAATTTTTGGTTAGTTTTTTGACAGCTGTCGTGGTTAATGTGTTTGTTTAATCGTGTTAAATTTGCACATATTTCACAGCAAACAAACATCTTTAAAAAATGGTAATAATATTTTGTTATTGAAAATTCTATACCACTAATTCGTGCTTAAATTATTTTTCTCTTAGCCTCTGAGATTGGACATTAAGAGGAAGTTGACTGCACGGTCAGATAGAGTCAAATGTGTAGATCTTCATCCTACTGAACCCTGGATGTTATGTTCTCTTTATAGTGGAAATATTAATGTTTGGAACCATGAAAATCAGCAATTAGTGAAAACATTCGAGGTGTGCGACTTACCTGTAAGGGCTGCAAAATTTGTGCCAAGGAAAAATTGGATAGTCAGCGGGTCAGATGACATGCAAATTAGAGTTTTCAATTACAATACATTAGATCGAGTTCATTCTTTTGAAGCACATTCAGATTATGTGCGATGCATAGTATTGCATCCAACTCAACCTTATATATTAACTAGCAGCGGTAAGAAATTATTACTTAGTTAACAAAAATCATTACATTTTTGATTTTAAGTATTTATGAATGATTAAAAAAATTATCTATATTTTGTACCTTTAAATTAACAATATTGTCAACTATTTCAATGCAAACACTAGGTAAAAACAGTTAGTACACATACACAATTTTGATTCAAATTGTGTAAGTGAATACACAAATCTGAATCAATGTTTTCTCGGTACTTTTTGTCCAATTTACACATAAAATATTAATTACTTACAATCTTTACTTAAAGAAATTTAAAAAAATTCTATTTTTTAATAGCAATTTTTGGTTTATTTGACCTTTATTAAATTATTTAGAAATAATGTTACAGGCTCAGAGCTGCAGCTGTTGTACTTTCTGTTATAATGATTCCTAAAAAGCCAACTTTTGAATTTTTTGACTAAAGTATTAACACACGTACTTCATTACTAATATATCGTTTCATTCGTTCATGCTAGTAGAAATTTTCCAATCCCTCAAATCTTTTAAATCTTTCAATAAGTTTGTACCAATTACATTTTTAATAATTTGTAAACACTTCGTACGATGTAGCCTCAACTTATTTTGTGTTGTAATTTTTTTCTATACGATTTATTACATCACATAAATGATCTCCACTTGTAATAGATGTATGTGTGATAGAGACCGACCGAATGTGATTTTTTGGCCGAAGCCGAACTTCGGTTTATAGGTAACCTTCGGCCGAAGCCGAAGATATTATTATTAATCTGAAAATTTTAATTGAAAACGAAAATATGATAAGATAACATAAAAGTAGCTACTGCCCAGCGTTTAAAAACATCTAACATATTGCGGGTAATCCCTGCCTGATCCGACTGGGGTGTTGCAGGTGCAGGTTCAAACTCGCTCCGTGTCTTCGCTCGACGTCAACGGTTTCGGCAAAAAGTTTGGCTTAATTTTGGCCGAAGCCGATTCTTAGCCGAAGGCGTAAATAATGGCCGAATGTGGCCAAAGCCGATTAATCGGTCGGTCTCTAACGTGTGACCATATAATAGCTTCATACTAAATCTTTTTGTTTTGTTGCTTATTTACTTGTATTAAATGATTTATTTAATTAAAAGGAGCTATCGATTTACAATTTTTTCTATGTATATCATTTTCTGCATTTTTCTTTAAATGTGGCTGCTGCACTTGTAAAGCCTTATACCTAATTCTGTATCTTGCGCTTTATACCTCGTGGTCGAAATTATAGAGAGTGACTCAGACATAATATAAAAACACTATTACCATAAAGTAGTGATGTGAGTGAAAATATATAACAAATTGATATATATCAGTTTTTGATACATATCAGCTATTATATATATGTTAATAGCAGATATATATCAATTTTCCCGCCATTTCATCAACACAGACAAATTTCAAACTTAACCTTACATTTTAAAATGGACTATAGCTCTTGGGTACCTGGCATATCTCCGTCAAAAATGAATATAAAAATCTGAAATTTTAGGGGTGTACTATAGATGGGAAGAGCTAAGAGTGCATGTAATTTCAAGTCGCCCCTTCCACCCTAGGGGGTGAGGGGTGGTTTTTTTTTAAATGTACCCTATTTATTTTGCGAGTTTCGGATTCTTCGCGTAAAACTACTCCCCGTTCTTGCCGAATTCGTACAAAAACCAAAATCCACCCTCGTATGAACTTCGTCGTTTTTTCGATGACCATCGTTCTTGGGCACCTGGGCATATCTCCATCAAAAATAAATATGGAAATCTGAAATTTTGGGGGTGTACTAAGAGCGAACGTAATTTCAACTCACCCCTTCCACCCTAGTAGGTGCAGAGGGGGTGAGTGGTGGTCTTTTAGACGTACCCACAAGAATGCGTTTCATGGGGGTAGTTTTATGCGTAGAATCCAAAAATCTCAAAATAAATAGGGTACATCTAAAAAATACACCCTTCACCCCCTCCGCACCCCTAGGGTGGAAGGGGTGAGTTGAAATTACGAGCACTCTTAGGTCTCCCCATCTATAGTACACCCCTAAAATTTCAGATTTTTAAGTACTACTTTAAAGCAGTTTCTTTATTATCATAAGTTTTTGATAATTTTTATATTTTTAATTTTTTTTAAGTATTGTGATATACAGACTAAATTTTCTTGTTCTAGAAATTTCCCATTTTTTATTTGTAGGTTGATAAAACTAAATTGCTAATATACAGCGTACTTGCTTATAAACAGTCATTGTAGGTATCATATTAAGTACACAACAAAAATTAGAAGTCATTACCGTCATAATTATAATGAAATTATTAATTAAAACAACAACCTATTTCAAATAGATTATTACATTTACTATAAAGTTTCTTAATGTAAATATGATAAAAAAAATTATAAATTTTAAAAATGTAAATTAATTTAAATTAAAAATTCCAATCTAAATATGAAAAAAATAAATATCACTTAATAACTTTTCTAACAGTTCATATATATGACATGTATTTGGAGTCAAATTAATCAGCAAGGCATTAGCAATATAAAAAAACTAATTTGAGTATAGTTTTTTTTTAACAAAATTCATCTGATATATATATTGATATATACTTTGATATATATCACCCAAAACTAAATAGCATGCTATTTTACATCACTACCATAAAGCATATAAAATATAAAATGATTTTTATAACAATTCAATATTATTTGTCTTATGTTAAATGATGTGCCGCTCTCTACTCACATCGATAGAATCTATAATCATCTATAGGCTGAGTTACACTGAACGTCAATCTACACGTTCGGAAAGTACCGATGGTCCATCTGCCGTTAGGTGACAGCTATAAAGTAAGACGTAGAAATCCATGCGATAGAGAAGGATGGCTATAATGAAGGCGTCTCATAGTCACCGCCCGTTTCGCCCTTCCACAAATAAGATCCACTTCTTATTTGTGGAAGGGCGAAATGGGCGGTGACTATTAGACGCGTTCATTATAGCCATCTTTCTCTATAGCACGGATTTCTATGACTTACTTTATCGCTCTCATGTAACGGCAGATGGACCATCGGTACTTTCCGACCCTGTATATTCTATCCCTATCTTTTGCACTTGGTAGGAAATAGGGAAACGTTTTTTTAGAGGGTGTAAACGGACTTGATTTAGGCGTCCTTAGAAACGCATAGCATAGGTGAGGTGTCCAATTCCGTGGTTATAATAAATTTATAAATTAAAAAAACACAACCAGGACGTTTTAAAAAGTTGTAATAATTAAAATGGATCAAACTGTCAAAAATATTAGATGTTATGTTTTATTATCTTTTTTCCATATTTTCTATATCTTGTTGCCTATTACGCAGACACGCCAATGGATTTTCGTTCCCCGCAAGTTTCATCCTCCTTACCAGTCCAAAAGCTAGCGATGAATCACTCTCTATAATTTCGACCGCGGAGTATAGTTAATTATCTTAAAACGACCATCAAAAATTAGTTTTTAATTAACTAATTAATCACAGCAATACAAATATAACTTATCACATGCCCATGGTTCTCTCAGCCATTTCATATTAAATTTCCTCAAATACTGCTTTAGTATTGTTGAAAAACTAAAGAAAATCATTACTGTCACTGTTGTCAACATTTTCAGTAGAAAACAATACAAAATCGAAATGACTATCCATTATAATAATAACTATTATACAAGGTGATTCAGGTTTAATCTGGATAATTTCATGAATCGATAGAACAGGTCAAAATAATGTTCATTCATGATATAAAATTATTTCCTAAATCACATAGTTTCAGAGATGGAGGGCGTTGAAGTAGGACTTTTTTCCCTCTTCGAAGCACAAAAAATACTTTTGAAATAATACTTTCAACAATGATTTTCACAAACGTGAGTTTATACAAATCATTGAGTTTTGTTTTTCATGGGTTGCTACCAACAAATTGTAACCACTAGAAGGAGCTTTGGATGTATTTGTTTGCAAATGTGCGAATGTACATAAATAAATCAGATCTTCAGGAGATACAAATTTCTATTGGTCGAATTAATATTCCCGCCTACGTCTGCATTTCGATGATTATCGATGACATCTGTCAAAGGAAAAGTGTGTAGCCGCTATTAATGTATTTGAGTTTATTTGTGTTTAGTGTGGCATTTTCCTCTTATTGTTGTGTAGTTTTTATGAATGGACATTTATTTAGTGCTAAGACATGGTTAGAAAGTGTGTTATTTGTAAAGTTTTATTTAAAAATGGCGAGCAGCGGTCTTTTTACAGGTAAGTAAACAAGCAACATGGGCGGCGTTTGAGGAATTACATAAGGGTGTTTTACATTTAGTACTTATTAGCACTGATAAAATACTGAATAAATCATTATCTAAATTATTAAAAATATATATTTTTTAATTGTTCAACTTATTTTTTCCTGTTTCAGTAATATTATAAGTATATTATGAGTAATACCTGTATTTTTTAGATTTCCTAAGAATCTGAAACTTGTGGAAGCTCTCCCTAGGTGATGTCAATATTACCGACAACATTTTTGTTTGTTCTGATCATTTTGCGATTAATGATTTTCTGACAAAGCCATCAGGTATAAAGTACTTGTGAGAGATAGCTATTCCAATAATAGCTTCTACTTATAGCAGGTAAAATAACTTTTATATTGATTAAAATATACAAGTAAAAAGCCTTTACAGTTACCTAGTACCTCTTTACCTTTTTATTTAATTTTTATAGATCAGACAGTTCTAATAAGGAAAATATTTCTCTAAATGATGTTCCTACGGAACAGTCATTGCACTTGCCGCAACAAAAACCAGAAAATATATCCACATGTTCATCGTCATCGACACTGAGTGCTCAATCAGGCTTGTTATCTACTACAAATAAGGCTACAGATCTTTCTGAAATATATTTGAAATTTGGTGACACATCACCAAAACATTGATCAACTTTAACTGCATCAGAAATAGGAATGGATTCACCCAATCGTAATAAAATTATAAACGTGAAGTAAGTTATAAAAATATAATTAACAAATTATATATCCTTTGTATAGTATCTACAACTAATACCCTATAATTTTGCTATCTGCTTACCTATCTAACATTTTTTTTATTCAGTACATTTTAAAAAATACCAAGAAAATTCTACCTTGTTACCTATTTATATATTACCATTTTATTTTATATAAACACTACCGTTAGTGTTTATATAAAATACATCTGGAATAGATAATTCATCATTTTTAGGAAAAGGCCTTATCCACGATATTTTGGAGAATGCCATACTTCTGACATGGATAGTCCAAAAAGAGCAAGAAAGTATTGGAGTATTTGTAAGAAAAAAATAAAAATGCAAACAATAAGTCTGCAGTAGGAAAAGAGTCGTCTAAAAGCCAGAATTTGTAGCCTTAATTCTCTTCTGAAATTTTTGAAAAATAAATATGACAACAGAAACTGCTCAATGTATCATTCATGTAAGTTGAAAAATACTTATCCTTTCTGTATCTGTAAACAATATGTATTTTTAGGAATCAGCACCTGGAATGTTAGGTGAAATCTATCAAAGATCAAGAAAATGACAATCTCGTAAAAAGTATTCACCAGAGCTTAGGTCGTTTGCCTTAACGTTAAGCTTTTATTCAACAGATGCTTATAATTATGCAAGAAGTTTTAACATGGCTTTGCCACATACAAAAACAATTTCTGTGGTACAGATCTATAGATGGACCACCTGGATTTGCAAATGAAGCATTGGCTGCTGTTAAAATGAAAGTAAGAGAAACAAACAGTTAAATTTTGGGCAATTTGGCATTTGACGAAACGTCTAAAGTGTTGAGTGGAATGGGAAGCGATTCACTGGATATGTTGATGTCGGTACTGAAGTATATGGGGATAATATTTCAGAAGCTACGGAAGCCCTTGTTTTTATGGTTGTAGCTATAAATAGTCATTGGAAAATACCTGTTGGGTACTTCTTGACAAACAGTTTAAGTGGTGGAGAAAAAGCTAATTTGTTAAAAAAAAGTTTAAAATTTTTAAGTGAATTAGGTATCAAAATAGTTTCTGTTACTTTCGATGGTGCTCCTTCAAATATCAAATTACGGCTTTACCATAAATGTTAATGTTAATATTAATAAGTAGGTCGATTGTAAGTTTGTAGCATTTTAGGTTATTTGTTGACTTATTACTGTTTCAAATTGGTTTTCTAATAAAAACTAGAAAAATAAACGAAACATTTGTCTTTTTATGATTTCTATAAGTCACTAGTGGGTTTTATAAGTCATAACTTACTAGTGACTTATGACTTATAACTCACTAGTGACTTATAGGCCACATTATTCCTAAACCAAAGAAATTATAGTATCATTATATACAAGTGTTAGATAAAAGGATTTAATTAATCAGTATTGGTGTCAAAACAATTTGAGTATAGTAAAAAGAGTTTATTAATTTTACTTCAATTTTTACCGTCTCATTATATCACCAATATGTAAAAATTATTTATAAAATGAGTAATCCTTTCAAATGTGTATTGGTATTTTGTAAATTTTAATATTTTGCCTTTTTGACAGTACATCACTGCCGTTGTGTCTCATTGTTTACATTTGACACTATCTATCTTTATTTATTAGGTAGTTCTCTGTTTAGATGTTTGCTACAGTTAAAACACATGTACATATAAGAATACACAAAGCTCCTTCTAGTGGTTAGAATTCGTTGGTTGCTACAATGTTAAATGAAATTTACTCGGTTGAGGCGCAACACTATCACGGATTTCATTAAATATCTCAGAAACAAGGCCAAATATAGAAAAAAACGAGACGAAAATGTTTAAAAATTAATGAGACAAAGGTGGTGTGCAGCTGTTTTATTGAAATTAATTAATTTTTTTGAAGTTTTGAAATAATGTTGGAGGGGGTACTACACAAAATACATTTCCAAGAGGGGTAGGTGGTTCAAACTTAAGAAGCTTATGTAAGATAATGAGTGTTTGTGTTCAGAATTTTACCTCAATCGGATGAGTGGTTCAAAGGTTATGAGGGAAAAGCCGGAAAAAAAATTCTATTTCAACGCCCTCTATCTCTGAAATGATGCGCTTTAGTAAATAAGTTTATATCATGAATAAACATTATTTTAACTTGTTCTATCAATTCCTGAAGTTATCCAGATTAAACCTGAATCACCCTGTATAATAAATAACTGGATTTCCTGCCACATTCACAATTGATATCATATTGACTTTAGCCCCTGTTCATATTAATCACTATCCATATTATAGAAATTAGTCATAAACCTAGAAAATTTGTATTGTGCTAAAAAACATGATGTCTCCAGCAGACAATTATAAATAATTCTTAATAGCTGTTTTACATTGACAATTTATTGATGAATAAATTGACAAAGTTCTTCATGAATTTATTGGTAAACAGTGTGGTTTTACACTGCTACAGACTTTGTCAAGTTTTTTTGACGCATGAATCAATTCTACCAACGAATCAAAGAAGCAAATAAATTTCAAAAATGTCACCTTTAGCTATAATAGCTGTTTTACATTGACAATTTATTGATCAATTAATTCATGAAGTCGCTTCATCAAGAAATTGGACAAGTGTAATGCACCAAATCTGCTGTCAAATATCTTCATGAATTTATTCATCAAGTTTTTGACGAATTAGAGCATGTTCTAATTTTTGTCAATTTCTTCGTAAAGTTCGGAAGTACCAACCCAACAGATTTCTAGCCTCAGATCAGTAATGAGGTTATGTTATTGGAATATGTAAATAATTGTGTGGCGTCGTGCTAGTTTTGCATTGTTTTTACTGATTTGTTACTTACAAAAACTAATATTTATATAATATGTGTCAAAACGGTACCGCTGTTGTATCACTACAATTATGAGTATAAAGGTGACATTTTTGAAATTTATTTGCTTCTTTGATTCGTTGGCAGAACTGATTCATGCGTCAAAAAACTTGACAAAGTCTGTAGCAGTGTAAAACCACACTGTTTACCAATAAATTCATGAATTAATTCATGAAGAACTTCGTCAATTTATTCATCAATAAATTGTCAATGTAAAACAGCTGTAAGAAACATTTTTTATCTCCTGTACAGCCTAAAATAGTCAGCTTAGTTTATACTATAGCCTAAAATTGAACTACATTTACATGTTTGAAATAGCTGGCTACACAATGCCATATCTGACAACATAACCTGGTGGTGCAATTCGATACCAAATTCATATTCAGCGGCCCAAGGTGTAGACCAGCGGTCGGCAACTGGCGGACCGCGGTCCGGGCCCGGACCGCAGAAGGTAAAATACTGGACTGCCAAAAATTTTTTGAAAGTATGAATTACTCAAATTATTTAAAAAATATTTTTTCTTACGTTTGAGTGTCACCCTTATCATTTTTTCTAATATTTTATAATTCTGTGACTGATTTGAGTTCTTACTGATTAATAAGAAGATTAAATTTGAGTGCAAATTAAAATTATAAAATTAGTAAGAAATATGAATTTTTTTCTGGACCTCGTAAAAAATTGTCAAAGGTATCCGGACCCCACCTAAAACTACTTGTCGACCCCTGATCTAGACTAACAAATATGAAAAAATTTTTTGAATGCCTGTATCCATCAAGTATTTTACAATATTTTTTAAATTTATTTTGGAATCGATTCCTTTCCCATCTTTTGTTCCTTATTCTAGTTCATTTTAATTTTCCGATGTGTATTTTTACATACTAAAGCTTAGGTTTTTTTTAATATTTTTTTTTAGATGACATGCTCATTAAATTATGGAATTGGGAGAAGTCTTGGGCCTGCCAACAAGTTTTCGAAGGCCACTCACATTACATAATGCAAATTGCCATAAATCCTAAAGACAACAACACTTTCGCGAGTGCATCACTTGACCGTACGTTGAAGGTTTGGCAGCTTGGAGCTTCTACAGCAAATTTTACATTAGAAGGTCACGAAAAAGGTGTTAATTGTGTGGACTACTACCATGGGGGTGATAAACCTTACCTTATATCTGGAGCCGATGACCGCTTGGTGAAAATTTGGGATTACCAAAATAAAACTTGTGTTCAAACATTGGAAGGGCATGCACAGAATGTTACTGCTGTATGCTTTCATCCTGAGCTTCCTGTTGTTCTAACAGGCAGTGAAGATGGAACTGTGCGAGTTTGGCATGCTAACACTCATAGATTAGAAAGTAGTTTAAACTACGGATTTGAAAGAGTATGGACGGTGTGTTGTCTGAAAGGATCTAATAATGTAGCTCTTGGGTATGATGAGGGGAGCATATTAGTTAAAGTTGGAAGAGAAGAACCTGCCGTTAGTATGGATGCAAGTGGTGGCAAAATAATTTGGGCTCGTCATTCTGAATTACAACAAGCAAATTTGAAAGCTCTACCAGAAGGTAATAAGTAGTGCCCGGACTGTGGTATACACGATTTTATATTTCACAGAAGCGGGGAGAGAAATTTTTAAGAGGTGTAAATTAAAAAAATCATTTTCAGCATTTATGTTAATAAAATTATTAATGTAAAAGCAAGATGGGGAAAAGAGAAATTATAATTTATAATTAAATGTGCACAAAAATATAGAGAATATAGAAATATAGACTTTGTTAAACATTTTCCATATTAATGTTATACTTGATATTGAGTGCAAATGTAATGCTTTGTGAATTGGTAGATAAAAAAATAATTTATTTATTATTAAAAAAAGAATTATTGAAAACAGTTAAATTTTTTTTTTTTTTTTCTGTTTTAAATCACTGCATCAAGCGCCGGCCGGGAAAAGCTGATACAGTTCTTAGTGCAACTGTTTAGTCTATTTATGACTGTTATAGGTTTTACATTTGTAAACAATTAGTATCAAAAATGTCCCACTCGACTCTCGGATATATTGCAGAATATTCAAGTTTTATGAACTTTAACGAGGATGGTAATGTGTATAATGTCATAACAAGTTTTCAGTGTACACAAAACAATTATAAAACCAAATTTGATAATACAATAATCATTAGAGCCTGCAAAACAATTTCATTGATTAGTATTATTCTTTGTGAGGAGTTGAATTGTGCAGATGGGTGATGCCTTCTTGTTTTTCAATTTAGCTTATATACTGTTGTAGTGAATAAATCATCAGTACACACTTTCTGTAGTAATAATTAGCTTGCAAAGTGTTAACAATTTATTATATTCATTGTGGCTCTGAATTCATTGTATTATATTAAATTTTTCGTCCACTATCTAGATTGATCTATAGTTGTATGCTTCTGTCCGGGCCATAATAATGAATTTTTGTATGTACTTTTTTTTAGTAATACTTGTTTTGTAGGTGTACAATTTTTTCATGTGTTTCTCAATTATTTTGTAGGAGCTGAAATAAGAGATGGTGAACGATTACCTGTTGCTGTCAAGGATATGGGAGCCTGTGAGATATATCCACAAACAATTCAGCATAATCCAAATGGTAGATTTGTTGTGGTTTGTGGTGATGGTGAATACATTATTTACACTGCTATGGCCCTAAGAAATAAAGCATTTGGCAGTGCTCAGGAATTCGTCTGGGCTCAAGATTCCAGTGAATATGCTATTCGCGAGTCGGGTTCAACAATTCGTATTTTCAAAAACTTCAAAGAAAAAAAGAACTTCAAATCAGATTTTGGCGCAGAGGGTATTTTTGGTGGATATCTTTTGGGTGTAAAATCCGTATCTGGCCTTGCTTTTTATGATTGGGATACTTTGGAATTAATTCGTCGTATTGAAATACAACCTAGAGCAGTTTACTGGTCTGATAATGGACGTCTGGTTTGCCTCGCTACAGAAGATAGTTATTATATTTTATCATTTGATTATGAACAAGTACAACAGGCTCACGAGAATAATCAAATTGCTGAAGATGGAGTAGAATCTGCATTTGATGTGCTTGGAGAAGTAAATGAGTCTGTAAGAACCGGTCTTTGGGTGGGTGATTGTTTTATTTACACTAATGCTGTTAATCGTATTAACTATTTTGTTGGAGGTGAACTTGTTACTGTTGCACATTTGGATAGACCTTTGTATGTACTAGGGTATGTACCAAGGGACGATCGTTTATATTTAGTAGATAAAGAACTTGCTGTAGTTAGTTATCAGTTATTATTATCTGTTCTTGAATATCAAACTGCAGTAATGAGACGAGATTTTGCAACAGCTGATCGAGTTTTACCCTCTATTCCTAAAGAACATAGAACTAGAGTTGCACATTTCTTAGAAAAACAAGGTTTTAAGCAACAGGCTTTAGCAGTGAGTACTGACCCTGAGCACCGATTTGAATTAGCTATTGCATTAGAGGATTTAAATACTGCCCGAACGTTAGCTCAAGAAGCTAACAATCCTCACAAATGGAGTCAGTTGGGTGAATTAGCGGCATCTACAAATAATTTAGAATTAGCCAAAGAATGTATGCAACGAGCTCAGGATTATGGAGGTTTGCTTTTGCTTGCTACTAGTTCTGGAGATGAAACTCTCGTCCGTAGTTTAGGTGAAAGTACTCATTCTGAAGGAAAACATAATTTAGCCTTTTTATCTTACCTTCTTGTTGGTGATTTGAATAAATGTTTAGATATATTAATAAGCACAGGCCGTCTTCCTGAAGCTGCATTTTTTGCAAGATCATATTTGCCAGATAAAATATCGGAGGTTGTTGAACTTTGGAGAACACAATTAAGTAATATTAATGAAAAAGCGGGTCAAAGTTTAGCTGATCCTAAATCTTACGAAAACCTGTTTCCTGGATTGTCAGAAGCAGTTACAGCACAAAAGTTTTTTGAAGAACAAAATAAAAGTCTTCTTCCAGCTACTATTGCAACTACTGTAACACCTAATCATGAACGAAATCTTATAGCAGAACTACAAGCTCAATTAAAAAGTGGAACATCTAGTGGTATACAACAAAGGTATGTTTTATATAATTTCAAATTTTGTACTCTTTATAGAAAATATTTTCATTCTTCCCCATTTAGTCTTAATTAGTATTTGTTCATAGAACCGATGCAAAATATTGGTGACGAACATTAAACTATATTTTAAATTTAAAAAATGCCACTTTTTTGTAAATGTTATATGATGCAAATGTATTTTTTATATCATGAAAGAATTAATGTACGAAAATTAGAAATATAAATTACTGCTTTCTTTGTAACAAAGTGTACTATTGAGATGAACCATGGAATTGACATTTCAGCTAAAAATTACCACTTACAAAAAAAAATTAAACATCTGCCATATTAGTTTTTTTTAGTCAATCAGAGAATAAGAAGAGAATATTTGTTCCTTTCTTTCTATATCTGTTTTCTGATAGTTTTAACAACTGAGGGCACTAAATTACTCATTGGGGAATCAATCACTCATTACTTTGTAGTCATCCACACTCAAAATAAGTCTTAATAATTCTGAATACTTTTTCAGATCGCCTATAGAAGCAAAAAAAATATTAGAACAAGATGAAGATGACTTGGATTTAGACCTAGAGGGAGTCAATATTGATGACAATATTGATACAACGGTTAGTATTTATTCAACTTAATGAATCTCTTATTTATCGATTTTTTTTTTTTTTTTTTCAGGACATCAATATCGATGATGATTTATTAAGTGATTAGAAGCATATTTTACAAATTAATTTTTAATTTACATTTAGTATTAATCTTGTGTATTCTTTCCATTATTTATACGATGTAAAAAAATACATTTAAAAAACTTGATGCATTTCAATAATCAGATACACAGAAAGCATTGTTTTGTAATATATTTAAAAACAAAAGAAATTTGTTAATTTACAAAAATGTTTATTTTTTCAAATTTTATAGAATTTTTTGTTGATTAATAATTTCCATCATGATCTTATATGATTTGCTCAATCTGTAGAGTTAATCATGGGCATAGCAAAGGGAGGCAGGGAAAGGTCACGGCCTCCCGTTAAATCTGAGATTCCGAGATAGCTAATAGTGTAAAAATCTATTTTATAACATCTGATTTGTATTTATTTTTATTTTTGAAAGAAGCAAGTGGGGGATACTGGTGAGTAGGGGAATCCCTCACGTCCAAACAATTTTCTTGCCATTTTTGGATTCAGCCAATTTTACCATACTCCGCAGTCGAAATTATAAAGAGTGACTAAGACATAATATAAAAACACTATTACCATAATGTGTATAAAATATAAAATGATTTTTATACGGTTCAATATTATTTATCTTTGTGCCGCTCGCTACTCACATCGATAGAATCTATAATCGTCTAGAGACCGAGTTACACTGAACGTCGATCTATATTCTATCCCTGTCTTTTGCACTTGGTAGGGAATAGGGAAATGCTTTTTTAGTTGGGTGTAAACGGACTTGATTTAACCCGTCCTGAGAAACGTCATAGCATAAGCGTAGACGAGGGGTCTAATTCCATGGCTATAATAAATTTATAAATTAAAAAAACACAATTGGGACGTTTTAAAATGCTGTAATAATTAAAATGGATCAAAGTGCCTGTTATAGCAAACCGTACAAAATATTAGATGTTATGTTTTATTATCTTTTTTCATTATTTTCTATATCTTGTTGCCTTTTACGCAGACACGCCAATGGATTTTCGTTCCCAGCACGCTTCATCCCCCTCACTAGTCCAAAAGCTAGCGATGAATCACTCTCTATAATTTCGACCGTGGAGTATAGATGGAGTTTGGATTTTAAAAATTTTTGGGGGGAATTGAGGGTGTGTGGGGGGGAATTCATAAGTCATAATAATTCTTTTTTTTTATCATTTTCGGATTTAGGATTTAGCGGAAAATTATACTAAAGATAGGTGGTTTGGATGGCTAATTTGTACGTTTTGAACTTTTGTGGGAAATTGAGGGTGTGTGAAGGGGAATTCATATGTCAGATTTTTTTATCATTTTCGGTTTCAGCAGAAAATTTTACTAAAGAAGCATCATCTATTTAAAAAAATTTTTTTTGTTGGCCTGTGTAATTCAATTAATTACCTTAATTCCTCTCGTCTCTCGTTCCTTCTATCTACTCGGTTTGTCTCCTCCTAATTCCATAGAGCGTTATTATTCACAGCTGTACTGGAACCCCACGAATGCAGTTTATTTAAATTCAAAAGGAATATTTCCACAAACTACTTAACTAACTTTTACATAATATAATTAACCAAACAGGATAATTATATGGACTTCTTCAAGCCATGGAACTTAATGTCATTGCCATTGTGGAAAACTTGGAAAATCGTGGAATGTAATAAGTAACTAATTTTGGTAGAAGCTCTTTAAAATAGAGTAAGTAAAATGTCTGACAACTTTAATGACAGATTCTATGTCACAAGTTAATAAATATATGTCTGGAAATGCTTCATTCTTCATGATACAAGATAATTCAGTCATAATGTCATTCATTTTAACTACATTATCAGAAGGCCTAATAGCGAAAATAAAAAAAATATATATACAGGGTGATGCATTAACGGTACGGAGTGGCTGTATATAGGAAACTAGACATGAATATTTTAAATCAAGTTCTTTTGGCCGTATTTGTTAGATAGATTTTTTACCCCATAATAGGGTTGTTGACCAAATTTCAAAAAGTAGATAAATTAATTCTACACGTACTAATTAGTATGTATGCACAATTAGAGATTGAGAAATGCGTCGGAACAGTTTTAAAATAATTATTTAAAACTGATTTTTTTATAATATTTCAAAACGGCTGTGACGTCATAAGGGACACCTTGTAGTGAAATTATGTGTAGATGATTGCGTAAAGGAAAAAAATTGGTGGAAGAAGATGCTCTGTCAACACTGTCAGTAGTGTCAGTCTGTCAGTGACATTGTCGCATAAAATACTTTCAAGTCTACAAGTTATCTTCCTTAATCTTCGAATTCCTTTATTAAGTAAAATTATTATTTAGTAAGAATCATTTAATATCTTCCTTCCCTTAGAATTAAAGCAGTGTGTGAAACGAGATTTGTGAAAGCTACTTCGCAAATTTGACCGAAAATTGATATTTTTATGATCATGAATTGAATTTTTAAAAAGAGACGATCGTTTTAATATTGGCGAAATCAGAGGTATAAAAGCAGTCAGGTAAGGATTAACATATTTAATGAATGATTTTATTGTGTTTATAATATAAATACCTACTTATTTACTGAAAATTATAGTGCAGTTCGGGAGTCTTATGGAGATAATGCAATTGGCTATGTGGAATGTGGGATAAAACACCACTTAAATTTTGTTGAATCCATTACAATCAGGAAATTAATAATAACAATCACAAATACTCTTAATTGATATACTACTTTCACTAGTGTCATTACTGTCACTTTTGTTTAAAGAATAGAAAACAGGACAAGGTTTGATGAAAAATTTTGATATATTTTCTTCTTCAAAATTATACAATAGGATCGCTACTAGCTTCTTGTTAAATTGCCCCTTATGACGTCAGACTAGTTTTTAAGTAACACAAAAATTCATAAATGATTTCTACCACTAATTTGTCATATATTTAAAATTTTACTATACAGGCAGGTTCTTTTATATAAAATCTTTGTATCAACAACAATTTGTATATGGTTTGTTTTTATAGTCAACAACCCTATTGTAGCACGTCTAGTTTCCTATGTATACCCGTACCGTTAATGGATCACCCTGTATATAATACTCAACCTTTCAAAAGACAATATAATAGCTCCCACTGATTCAGCGACCACAGCGTTCGAAAGTTAAAGCAAAACAGAGTCACATCACAACCACATATACAGGGTGTCTCATAATTAGTGTCCAATAATTTACCACTTCAATCTATTGCCAAAAATAAGAATATTTATTCATATAAACATGGGTCGAGAAATTCTTCCTAAAGGCGTTACGCCCCCCTAAATGGGGCCCCAAAAATTCATTTTTTTTTTAATATTTCCAAAATGGGTTGAAGGAAAATTATGAATTTTGACACTATGAATGCTCATTAAGTCGAAATAGATATTTTTAAAAATTTTAGTCGGGGCATCTCAGTTGGAGTGGGTTGTCGGCTAAAATTTACCACTATTTTTTTGCTTGTTGAAATTTTCAAATTCAGATGCCAACATATGATAAGACCTTCATTTTCTCTACAAAAAAGGTACTCTTTATTTCTTTCGATAAAATGCTATATTTCCGAGAAAAACGAATTTAAGCATTTCATTATATTATCTTAATAAAATTAAAAAAAAAAAAAATTGAATAGCTAAAATGGATACATGCACCATTACGATTTTGATATATCATCATAATAAATATATATATTGTTAAACTAAATGTTAATTAATAAATCGATTATACACTTTTATTAACAAAAATTTATAGGAAGTGAACAGACTGTATGTGAACGCTTCAAACATTCATATCTGAATAATCCTATCTTATGCCTCTTCACCGGGTGTCGCCCGAACGCTTGATCTCCGTTTGTTTTGGTTATCCGGCGTTTGTTTATAAATCGCCGATATACAGAGTGCCTTCAGTTCGCCCTGTTTGGAGATGAATATTCCTTAACAATATATATAAATAAATAAAGTGAAAAGTGGTTGGAAATGTTTGTAAAAAAGGTAAAATTTGCCCCAATTTTTTTACATGCTGCTATATTTAAATTTAAACAGTAAAATTTGATAGATCTGTTTTCTATTAAAAAATAGTGATGTAGTTTTATATCGAAAAAGTAATCCATTTTCGAGAAAAACTGGTTTAATAAACTTTTCTCAGCACTTTTCACGTTTATTACATTGGATAATTACATGATGACATCAAAATTCATAATAGCACATGTACCCATTTTAGCTATTCAATGGAGCATTTTATCGAAAGAAATAAAGAGTATCTTTTTTGTAGACGAAATAAAGGTCTATCATATGTTGCATCTGAATTTGAAAATTTCGAAAAGCAAAAAGACAAATTTTAGCCGATGACTGCCCCAATTGAGAGGCCTTGACTAAAATTTTTGAAAAATGTTATGATGTATATATTTCGACCTTTAATGAGCGTTCATGGTGTCAAAATTTATAATTTTCCTTCAACCCGTTCCGAAAATATTTAAAAAAAAATGAAAAAATATTCTTATTTCTGGCAATAGAATCAAGTAGTAAATTATTGGGCACTAATTATGAGACGCCCTGTATAATCACAAAACACATTGTCAGTTTAAAATATTTATTCAAAACCACCACCGTTAATCGCATCTCCCGCAATTGACTTTAGGTTCTGGTAAATTTTTTTCTAATGTTATAGTACAAATTGGCCACTCTGAAGAATCTAATTGTAACCATGTCAGGCCAGTTTTCCATACTGTTAGCTATGAATTGAGAAGGTATTAAACATCTTGATAAACAATCAGTAATATTGTTTGTACCTTGTACATGGAACCATGAATCAATCTGTCAATGACTGGATTTGAATTACTCGATTTGAGACAAAAGTTTGTAATTTAGAATTAGTAGCTGTCCAATTAAGAGTAACTGTAGAATCAAACAGTGTGTAAATACGAGTAATAATTAAGCGAGACTGGTAGCAATCTACTACAAAATGAAAAAGCTTGGCAAGCAGATGTGCTGCACAAAGCTCTAAACGAGGGATGGAATCGGCTTTCATAGGAGAAACTTTAGATTTTGCACAAAGATGTACTTGCGTTTTTCTGCAGGAGTCTACTTGACGAATATATACGACAGCTCCACATGAAATTAGACAAGCATCAGCAAAATCTACCAGATTTACTGGTTGGTAAGCAAAAAAATCTGAAAGGAGTGATGAATTCCCTGAATTTATCCCAACGTTGAACAATATCAGGACAGGATTCATCCCAATCTAATTTTTGGATCCAGCTATCTTTGATCAAAAGTTTGGCTAATAATGTGACAGGGGCTAAGAATCCTAAAGGATCATAACAGCGAGCAAAGGTCGATAAAATATTGCGTTTATTACAAGGTTTGTCGATAAAATCAAAGCAAAACGATAAGCAATCTGAACCTGGATGCCATTGCAAACTTTCGTGGCTCGGTTTTCAACTGGTATCTCTTCTACTAATTTTTGGGAATTGGTAGCCCATTTGACTAATTGAAAACCTCTACGAAATAGTCCAACTAACTGATGATAGAGATCAAGTGCGGATCTACACACTAGTTACGGGATCATCTACATACATATAGTCCGCGAGCCAGCTGCAAAACCGTTGAGTTATTTTCTAGATAAAAAATTTGAGTTTACATGACAGTTTTTACCCCAACTAAGGTCAGGCAGTGATATGAAGCTCCTAGAACGGTAATGGTGGGTACCACCCTACCCTCCTACGCGTATGGAAACTAAAAAAATTTTGTAATCATTAAATGGACCAAACTCAAGTATAAGGCATTTGATGCTGTGTTTAGTCGATTAAAGCTAATCAGCTGGCTCATTGATGGTAATTAGTACGTCAGCTGACCGTCGGAACAGGTGAGATGAAAAAATAATTGAAAATTATTTTTTATGTACTGAAATTGAAATATATTGTAACTTATAGTGCATACAGGGCCATAAAAATAGTCAGCTGGCCAATCGTTGGTAATAAGATCGTCAGCTGAGGCAATCAAATCCCCTGCGGCAGCCCGCTCGGGCGCCCATCGAATGATATGTTTTTCGCATTAACTGACTACTCTTTTACCCATGAACCGCCAGCTGACTATGTTTTTTGCTTTGTGTACACAATAAACTATCGTTTGGACCCATTTTTGACTGATAAAAATTTTTTTCCTACAAAATACGAGCAAAAGATCGCTCATGTTACGTTGCGGCCAGCAGATTTACCTGTGTATTTCTCTCGACTGACGGACTTTTTTCCCCAACGACTGCTAACTGACAATATTTTTTGTTTTGTATACGCAATAAACTATCGCTTGGACCCATTTTAGATTGATACAAAATTTTTTCCTGCAAAATACGAGCAAAAGATCCCTGATGTTACGTTGCAACCAGCGGATTTACCTGTATATTTCTCTCGACGGACACACTTTTTTTACCCATGTACTGATATTTGACGAAATTTTTTCATTTGAGCACATAATATACTATCATTTAAACCCGTTTTAACTACTCAAAATTTTTGCATAACCTTGTAATTACGTGAATATTCATGATTGTGCATCGGACTGATTCGCGTCTTAATTGAATTTTCATTGAATTAGCTTTTTACACGAAGCGTTCATTGAAATTATTATAATATATAGTAGGTATAAAGAATAAAATATGTTTTTAATGAATAATAAGTGTGATTTATTGATAGTAGTAGCAATAGCAGTAGTATAGAACATGATTGGAAATGATCTTATGTTGTTATTTTTGTTTTAATTATGAATTTAACATGTTAGTTTGAAAATAATATTTACAAACAGATTACGGTATGTACATGTGTACAGTATTACATAAAATGAGCACCCCTAAACTGACCGGAGGTAGACTCTTAACTGACGAGAGGCTATCGGCGAGAGTAACTGAGGACAGAAATGAGACTGAGCACTGACAGGTAGCGGAGGGGAGAGCGAAAATGTAGCATGTACGAGACGAGATATTAATAAAATAATTTTTCACGATTTACAACAGAATCTTATGAGAATGCAGANTTTTTATCAGTCAAAAATGGGTCCAAACGATAGTTTATTGTGTATACAAAGCAAAAAACATAGTCAGCTGGCGGTTCATGGGTAAAAGAGTAGTCAGTTAATGCGAAAAACATATCATTCGATGTTCTCACGAGCGCGCTGCCGCAAGGGGTTTGATTGCCTCAGCTGACGATCTTATTACCAACGATTGGCCAGCTGACTATTTTTATGGCCCTATATGCACTATAAGTTGCAATATATTTCAATTTCAGTACATAAAAAATAATTTTCAATTATTTTTTCATCTCACCTGTTCCGACGGTCAGCTGACGTACTAATTACCATCAATGAGCCAGCTGACTAGCTTTAATCGACTAAACACAGCATCAAATGCCTTATACTTGAGTTTGGTCCATTTAACGATTACAAAATTTTTTGAGTTTCCATACGCGTGGGAGGGTAGGGTGGTACCCACCATTACCGTTCTAGGAGTTTCATATCACTGCCTGATCTTAGGGTAAAAACTGTCATGTAAACTCAAATTTTTTATCTAGAAAATAACTCGACGAATTCTGCAGCTGGCTCCTGGACTAATATCTCTTTTGACAATCTCTGAAGCTAAGAGCAGAGAAATATTCTCATCATCTGCTAGAATAGCTAGAAATGGAGATTTTACTCCAAATGTAACGGTATGTATTTGATATGTTTCTATCGGAACATCAAGAGAGAATCTGCAATGTATTGGGTGAAATCTTTGATCATATTCAAATAAATTTATTTGGCGATACATCTGCCGAATATCTACTGTAAGAGCTACTGGTAACAACCTAAAATTTAAGAACATTGTACAGACATCTGATTGTAATTTTCAAGATCCTAGACTTTTAAAGCTGGCTATTGGCAGGTACCCAAAAAAAATCAATTTTTTTTCACAAACTAACTCCTCATATCAGAGTTGCAGTGTTTGAGGCACCACTCGATGGGTTTTGGTCTATTTAAGCTGTGAGTTTGTATATGTCAGAGGGTATCACAATAAACCTGCACTATTGGAGACAAACTTGTGACACTGCCATCCCAAATGAAAAAAAATGAAGCATTTGCAGACACATTTACAGAAACTTTTTTTTGTTGATTTATGCACAATTAAAAACCATTAAAACTTGGCCCAGTATTTTAGTTAGGTACAACCCGTATATTATTTGGTTTATGGAAATGTAAGCACCTGTATTATGATAGCTACTAATTTTCCACAGGATCACTCAAACATACTAATTTTGGCAAGATATTTTTTGAAAATGGATACAATTTGCCCAACATGATATGCGAAGTAACCCTTAAGAGTACTAAATTGTATTTGATTATTATGGTTTAAATTTAAAATATAAAGTACCATTGAATTTAAAAGACCCTTAAAACATAATTAAAAATCACTCAATATACAAAACATATAAAACTTTAATAAAAAAATTAATTTATAATTTAAAATGGTGAAGTATTAAAAGAAGGGTATAAAGAAGTATTAACTTGGTTAGGAATAGATAGATCTGTATAAATAATAGGATAATATTGAACTCTTCCACTAGACCATCCAATAGTTAAACATGTTCCAGCTTCAAAATGTTGTAGAAAACTTATTATGCTAGGTTTTTCTTCAGGTAATCCAATAACCAGCGAACTAAAAATACATATCAAAGTCATGAAAAGCCCGCCGGAGAAGAAACTCAAGCACACGACATACATTATTTTGGTATTTTATAAAAAAATACGCAACGTCAGATTTTGACTATTTTTGTACACACACTAATTTTGACATCTTCAACTAAAAGAAGTTTTGTAGCAGTCTGATGTGTTCTAGAAAATTGTAAAATTAAGATAAGATGTGTGTTAAATACATATTTGGTTATAAAAACTTAATTCTAATTTAGCTGTAGATAGTGCAACCTTATCTAATTTATATCTCAATAATTTAATTTTCCCATAAAAACAATGCAGTGAACAATTGTTGATCAAACTGAATCGTACATTTCAAAATTAAAGTCATCAACTTTATAATTTTATAACTCGTGGCATGTAAAGGATGAAAGACAGCAGAAGTATTAGCAACATATTTCCTCTAGTTATACAGGGTGTTTCTGAAATAAGTGCGTTCCTTGAAAACGGTGATAGAGGGCACGAAAATGAACAACTTTTATTAAGCAAGTGACGTTCCACGTGACTTCCACAATCAAGCAAATCTGATGGTAGGTATTAGGCCGCGTATAAAATGTTTTCTGATCAAGAACTAGCAGATATGGTATACGGGGAATTAATCCGGTCGAATTAGATCAAACACATGCCTGTTTCAAAAATCGGGCCTAACTCAAATTTTATGGACTTGAAGTAAAAAGTACACAGAATAAAAGCCTAAATTTGTGTATTTAATACACATATATACACGTCATATTGTTTATAATAAAAATAAATTATTGCTATTTTTTCAGTTTTTCGCTTATATCTCCGAAAATAAGCCTCTAATCGACATGAGGTATACTTATCAATTTTGTTCCTGAGGAAATTTGCTACAAGGATAGGCTTTTGCGAAAACTCGCAAAAATTTGTTTACATCGCAAAATTAGCGGTGAAGAAAAAAATGTGCAAAATTTAAAGCATTACGTAAAAAGAACGAATTTGACTGAAATTGGATGAACCTGCAGGAAAAGATAACTGTTGGGGTGTTCAAGAAATTCCCGCAATCTGGACCCCCAATTTCAAAATGGCGGCCTATTGCAAAATTATAAAGTCGAAAATGCGAGCGCGTATATCTTCTGCCCAAGTCGAGACATTGAAATTTGATACAAAAAGGATCGAGAAGTAATTACATTGTCTCGCGTTTGCGTAAATTTCAGATTTTTAAGTTGCAAAATAAAAAAGTTATTAACAAAATACCAAAAAAAAAAAAAAACGGTTATCTCGGCGGCTTTTTAATATATAGATTTCAAACCGATTACATCAAATAGTGCTTAAAAAACATGAATTTAAAAAAAAAGCGTCTCGATCCAACTCTTTTTTTTTTCTTAAAAACGGTATTTTGGCTGTTTTATTTAATATTTTGTAGAAAACTTGGGCTCGTTGTTTACGAAGAAGACTTACTTTTATAGGCTGAATTTTTTTTGAATGGATTCGGCCAAGAAATGACCAAGTAAACGTGTGTTAAAGACAGAGTGATCCGCGCTTTAACAAATGGATTATGGCACTTAGAAAGCAGCTTTTCTGCTCTTTCGAATGGTGTACGCAAAAGTCTGTGAACGTCATCGCCAGATCCCGAAAAATACATTTTTATTGACTTTTCATGTTTTCTTTTGTAATTTCATTATGCTTTCGATGTTTTGAAAACAACAAAAAGCGGTAACTAGGGTTCTTATCTCGGCGGTTTTTTAAGATACAGATTTCAAACCAATTACGTCAAATAGTGGTTAAAAAACATGAATTTAAAAAAATATCAAGCATAGAAATAAATGATTTTGTTTTTTGGCATATTAAAAATCCGCCGAGATAAGAACCCTAGTTACCACTTTTTTTTTTTTTTTGGGTTTTTTGTTAATAACTTTTTTATTTTGCAACTTTGCAAATCTGAAATTTACGCAAACGCGAGGCAATATAATTACCTTTCGATCCTTTTTTTACCCAATTTCGATATCTTGACTTGCGCAGAAGATATACGCGCTCACATTTTCGACTTTATAATTTTGCAGTAGGCCGCCATTTTGAAATTGGGGGTCCCGATTGCGGCTATTTGTTGAGCACCCCAACAGTTATCTGTTTCTGCAGTTTCATCCAATTTAAATCAAATTCATACTTTTTATTTAATGCTGAAAATTTTGCACACTTTTTTCTTCATTGCTAATTTTGCAATGTAAAAAATTTTTGCGAGATTTCGCAAAAACCTATCATTGAAGCAAATTTCCTCAGGAACAAAATCGATAAGTATACCTCATGTGGATTAGAGGCTTATTTTCGGAGATTAAGGGAAAAACTGGAAAAAGAGCAATAATTTTTTTTTGTTTGTTATAAACAGTATGACGTCTGCAACTACAAATACACAAATTTAGGCTTTTAGTCTGTGTAATTTTTACTTAATTTCAAGCCCATAAAATTTGAATTAGGCCCGACTTTTAAAAAAAAAATGTAATTCGCCCGAACTAAATGTCAGTACAATCTAAATGAGATTTATCGTTTCTATGCGATCCGTTACCATAACAGACGATAATCTAACAGCAGAACAGTGCAAAAGGCAGTTCAAAGGTTACGGGATACTGGGAATGGCCACCTGACATACGAAGGTCGTGGGTGGGAAAGACTGCCACATGTTTTTGACAATGAAGAAAACATCACAAACCTTGTTGAAGATCCAAGACACAGTACTCGCCTCTTTGAAGTGGGTGTATCTAACAGTACTGGGTGGTGTGTACTACGAGAATAATTATTAGACCCCTATCATATATAAAGGATTCAGGCATTAAATAACAATGATTTTCAGCCCCGTGTGGAATTTTGCCAGTGATTTCGATATCAAATAGCATAAGATCTGGATTTTACAAACAAGGTACTTTTTACGGATGAATGTTGTTTTACTAGAGACGGCATACTAAATTTTCACAAGATTCACCATTGGTGTGATGAAAATCAAATGTTCTTCACACGTGATACTGCCCGTCCTCATATTTATCGTGTAGTTTGCGAAATTTTACATACCAACTTTCCAGAAAGGTGGATAGTACGAAATGGCCATATACGTTGACCAGCACAAAGTCCGGATATGAACCCTCTATACTTATTTGGGGGTGTATGAAACAAAATGTGTACCAAAGGCTTATTGTCGATGCAGCAAATCTTCAACAGCGTATATTTGCTGTAGCTAATGAAATTCGATAAATGCCAGGGAGTATTTTGGAAGCATGCTTATTAGCACAAGGAAGAAATTTTTGTAGAGCATATTATTATCGTCTGTTGGTAAGTAATTCGTTTATTCGTTTAATTTTGGTGTTACTTTTAAATGAGATTTGATTAAATTTCAACATTTGCGAACGCAACATTTAAACCGTCAAAACCTCCATCAGCGCTATCACCCTACGGCGCGCGGCGTTTTCAATATCAAAACTACAGCTTTAAATTTGTTTAAATCTTCATGTGGACATTTGTTTTTTCAATTTAGAACGTAATATTTTAGACCATCAGTAGCTTAATAAAAGTTGCTTATTTTCGTATCCTCTATCACCCTTTTCAAGGAATGCACTTATTTCAGAAACAGAATGTATATCTATTAACTTATCTGAAGCAAGTATAACGGAGGATATATAAGAGATATTTCAATTATGTTTCCTGGTAAACTTTTAATATTTTGCAAAGATATTACTATTTTATATTGCCTAGAAGTTGGAGAACTTAATAATTCAACTTTCAAGAATGAATGCATGCAGATAATTATACATTCCGAAAATTTTAGATCAGATTTTATTAGGTTGGGTGGTGGGTTAGATTAAGTTAAATTAGGAAGTTTACTTCTCTTTTAACAATAAAGGATATACAGGGTGGTCCGAATGTTATGCAGGAAACTTCGAGACCAGATAGATCTCCATAAAATAATAGGTGTTTGCCTTATAAACAGGTCTGCAACGGCCTCGTTTTAGAGATACAGGGTGTTGAAGTTGTTAAAAAAAAATCATTTTTTGTTTACATCTCCGGAATCTATTAACCGATCTGAATAAAATTTGGTATAGATAATGTATGACAGTAAGCCTTGCAATCCCTAGAATATGAGCTGTAAAGGAACGACCAGTGGTGTACAACTGGACAGGGTCACCCCTTTTTTTATAAAAAAAAACCTACGCCACTGTATTTGTTACAAGCTATTGTATCGGATTTATATTCTAATGTACAAAATACATAAAAAAGGTAACGTGAATTTTTTCCCTAAAGTTCACCGTTCTCAAGTTATTCATACGAATACAATCTCCTTGTGGCGGAAACTTCTAACCATAATATTACAAGAATATTTATGTTTATGCTTAAAAGTAAGTGAAATTTGTAAGCACATCAACAAAATTTATACTTGTCGCTTTCCTCTTTTTGGATTATAAAGATATTTGGAAAATCACAACAGCACAGTGAAAGGCACATAAATAAAATTTTAAGAACATTGGAGTGAGTAAATCGAAAATTTGAAAAGTTCTACATAAGGATTGTAGAAATCCGTACCATTTACAACCTGTGCAAAATTTACTGCCGGTAGATGCAGAGAGACGCTTGAATATTTGTCAGTGGTTATTAAAGTCACAACATAATCCAGAATTCTTACTAGAAATACTTTGGACCGATGAGGCTACGTTCACAAGGCGAGGGGTAATGAATTTTCAAAATATTTGGTCACAAGAAAATCCTCATGAAATTCGGACAAGACCTTTTCAACACGAATTTTCTGTGAAAGTGTGGCTCGGAATAATTCGGACCTTTTTTCTTGTCACCCCATCTAAATTCCCAGCAATTCTAAACTTTCTAGAAAACCATCTATTTGAATTATTAGAGGATGTTCCATTAAATATACCACAAAGTAGCTGGATACAAATGGATGGTGCTTCTGCGCATTTTAGGAGAATAATACAAGAATGGCTTAAAAATTATATGGTGGGATGGATAGGTTGAAGACCAAATGCCAATGTCAACCATAATGGTGCAGAGAATCCAGTGTCTTGGCCAGCCAGATCGCCAGATCTAAACCCCATGGACTTCTATGTTTGGGGTTACCTATCTAAAAAGTAAAGTTTACGCTACTCGAATAGATACAAGACCAACTGCAGCGAATAGAAGACGAGTGTAATGAATTAAAAGAAAACCACCACATGATATTAGTGGTTTAATTAACCATTAATTTCATTTCTTGTTTAATTGTTATTGCTTGGTAAATGTATTTTTATTATTATTTTGATTTAAATTGTTCTTATTTGTAAAGATAGTGGATTAAGCCTCCAGGACGTCTATTCTTGAAATCAAGAGAAGGGAGCTAGCCCTGGGAGCTCCAGAGGAGCGTTCCCTCATTTGAGCTCCCCCACAGAAAAACACCGAATTCTTGAAACCTCGAACGCACCGAGGTGTATCAGGGAGGGAGCAAAATCGGGGAACAGCGTTGCCGGTTTGTTCGACCAATGAAATTGCAGAAAACTGACAAAACACAGAAAAACTTCACTTTTATTTTGACAATTTAATATAAATTTGTGGAGATCGAAAAATGAATTTACCTTTGCTTAAAACAAGGCAGTTGAGTCAGAAACAGAAAGAAGTGTTAGTTAATTTTGTGTACGCACGACCAGACATGTATAAGGGCAAATTAACCGGCACTTATACGAATACGATAAGCGTGACATTGTGGAAAGAGGCAAGTAATATATTAAATGCTATTCCAGAAGGGGCCACTAAAGACTGGAAACAGTGGAGAAAGGTCTGGGGCAAAACATCTCTTCTAATAGCGAATTCTGCCACCGCTTCCTCAACATCCTCGTTAATAATGTCATTCCACAGCATTAAATTTAAGTTTTCCATGTTTATTTTAGATTTATGTAATTAAAATGTTCAACTCACTTGACATTTTATGTACTTCAAAAATAAACAAAAACAGACAATTTTAGGTTAGATTTGCTATTTCCCTCAGTCTCTAGTAGGAGAACTTTAAGTTCTCTTGGGAGTAGCTCCCTCCCTAAATATTTTTTCAAGAATACCCTGTTGTGCATTTTTAAGAGAACCACGCCCACTTCCCTCACAAGTTCTACTCCCTGAAATTCAAGAATAGACCACCAGGGGAAACTAAAACACACTAGGAATACTCCCTCACAGGTGATGTGGAAATAATTTTGTTGATCTGCTTACAAATTGCACTTACTTTTAAGCATAAACATAAATATTCTTGTAATATTATGGTTTGAAGCATCTGCCACAAGGGGATTGTATTAGTATGAGTAATTTGAGAACGGTGAATCTTAGGGAAAAAATTCAGATTACCTTTTTTACGTATTTAGTGCATTAGAATATAAATCCGTCACAATAACTTATAAAAAATACAGTGGCGTAGTTTTTTTTATAAAAAGAGGGCGACCCCTGTCCAGTTGTACACCACTGGTTGAACCTTTAGAGCTCATATTTTAGAAATGCAAGGCCTACTGTCATACATTATCTGTACCAAATTTTATTGAGATCGGTTAATAGATTCCAGAAATATAAACAAAAAAATCAATTTTTTTAACAACTTTAACACCATGATTCTTTAAAATGAGGCCGTTCCAGACCTATGTTTATAAGGCAAACACCTATTATTTTAAAGAGATCTATCTACCCTCGAAGTTTCCTGCATAAAATTCGGACCACCCTGTATTAATCTTTTATATATATGAATTTCCGGAAAATGATATCAGATGGTTGCAATATAATTTCGGACTATATTCAGTGGAATAAAATTAGAGCACGTACCAAAAATTTCAAAATCTGAAGCTCACCATTCTGTTATGCTATAACCTTATTTTTATAAGACCTAACCAAGTATTTTTGTTAAAAATACAAATATGCTAGTATATTTTTAACTCAGGCATTGGTAGAGAGCCGACTAATACTTACTGTCTATACCATTCAATAATCGTTGTGTTTTATTAATCTCAGAACTCGACTAATTACCGTTATTTTGTATAAAACTATTTTATAAAGTAGAATCAAATGAGAACATTCACTTGATGAATGTCATGTTCGATGTAACCAATAAAGAAAATGCTTTTTAAATGGAATGCATGTATTGCTATGCAAGTGACTAAAAAATAATATTTTGATAACAGTTCAGTTTGAGTTAAATTGAACATAAAAAATTATACCGGATGTCCTGAGAGAATGGGTCATACTCAAGGGTAACATCTTTAGTTGTAAATAAATAAAGTTAGAATAAGAAGAGTTTGCATCCTTAAATACATTTTACATGCCTTTGAACATTTTTTTTTACATTCTACTGAAATGAATTCCATTTCAGACATAATGATGTTTTTTAGTGGTATGAACAAACATTTATATTTTTTTTAAGGTAAATAATGTAAGGTTTCATTAAACATTTCTGTATTTTTGAAAGTCCCTATCAACAAAAAAATGGCAAAAAAACAAAAGTTTTCTATGGTTTAGGTAAACCAAAAGTTAAGCTAAAAAATAGAAAAACTATTTTTTCAAACCTGTATCTTTTTTTAAAAACAAATTTGTGCTAAAGTATGTACTACTAAAGTACTAATTTAAATTAATTTATTTTAATCTAAGAAATCTATCCTTGAATTATTCCATTCCCATTAACTTCTGGACATCCTGTACACATTTAAAAAAAATAACATTTACACTTGATATGAAATAACTTTTTTGTTTGTGCTAACACTCTGTTTCTCCAAAGGCATTTAAAAATCCCTCATCAAATTTACTCACCTAGGAATTATTTGTAGCATGGGTTGCCTAACAATATTGAATACGGCTACACAATTAGTATCTTGAAATAAAACAGCTAAATGTTTCCCTTTTGGATCGCTCTCCATACACTGAATCAATCCTCCCACAACAATACCTTCAATGTCGATTTTACTTGTATCAATTAAAGGTATAGCTTGACTTGAAGATGTTTCAGTATTTGATGTGAATATTTGGTCAGTTTTTATGATAAGGCCGTAAATTACAGTCTCTGTACTTGTCGCAAATAGTAGATTTGTACCACAACTTGACCAACAAGCCGTCTGCACTCTACCATCAAGCACAGTCCACCTTTCGCATTCCCATGTATAACAGTCCCATACTCTAAAATAAATCAAAGCTTTCTGCTAGATACAAATTAATATTACAATAAATGATTAACAACATTAAATATAAAAATATATTTTATAAAAATCATATTTTGTTTAATTATTTTCAAATATTTTTTAATTATAATTTAATAATTCTACCACAGTGTGAATGTGAATAATGTCCATACCATACTTGAATCTACTGTTGAATACAGGGGGTAACTTTAAGTGGGGATCAGTTTTTTAGGGGTAATAGCACGTTCCCCTGAATACGAATCTGAAATTATTTTTTTTTTAGTCAAATAAATAGTCGCGTTATAATTAGTTTTTTAAAATGCACTTTAATACTTGTGTTCCCCACCACTGTAATCATGTATTACAAATAAATAAATTGTAGGCAACAATGTATTTGTTTGCAGGCTTCCGTGGCTGTCGTTAATGGTTGAATGATTTCAGGGCTGGTTGCCACGTCGTCGATTTACAACAACGAGAAATATCGAACGAGCTATCAGGAGGAGACATGGAGAAACGGGAGTACTTAGCGACAACGTATCTACCTTACGTGAAAGGTTGTACAGATAAAATCGGGTGTCTTTTGAAGAAGATGATTATCAACAAAGACTTGCAACAACGCCCAGCTCCAGAGGCCCGATGTATACAGTATTCCTTGCTCTTGCGGAAAGGTCTACATAAGGATAGACAGGAAGGAACATGAGGTTAAAACACAAAAATCACCTCAAAAATAACAACTGGGAAAAATCGGCAGTAGCAGGGCATAGGTCAGACACGGGACACAGAGTGGATCTGAGTGAAACCAACATGGTGGTGAAAGAGAGAAAATTTTGGCCCCGACTATACAGAGAAGCATTAGTTTACAAAAATCCGAACAATTTCAACTGGGCCTCCAACTTTTAAAGTGGTCGTATTTTTTAAAACAGGCAACAACATTGAAATGGTCGTTTTATTAAAAAAAAAAAAATGTCTTGAGAAAATCGCCTACAGAAAGCCATTCTTAAGAAAAATGGCATTATTTGCAGGTCTGTATGTTTTGGTTTGCATAGCAGTGTCACGCATTTAAACCTTTGAGTTCAGTAGGCGATGCAAACAAGATGTTGATTGCAGTGGCTATCATGTAATGTCATTATTGTCGTGTTTCTTTAGGATTCTCATCACTCCACACATGCAAATTAGGAAATGTCCGCAGTGTATCAAGACAATTAAATGTATGTAAAACTAATGTTCACAAAACTTTAAAAAAGCAACTTCTTCAGCCATTCCATTTAACTTCTGTTCGAGAACTTGAAAATTTAGATCCCAACGCAAGTTTATAATTTTGCCCCTGCTTCGCAGAAGATAAAAATTTGCTTCAAAAATTGTTTTATAGTTATACCGACGAATCTTGTTTTACAAGCAACGGAGTTGTAAATTTTCATAATTTGCATGTGTGGAGTGATGAAAATCCTAAAGAAACACGACAATAATGACATTACCTGATAGCCACTGTAATCAATATCTTGTTTTCATCGCCTACTGAACTTAAAGTTTTAAATCCTTGACATTGCTACGCAAACCGAAACATACAGACCTGCAAATAATGCCATTTTTCTCAAGAATGGCTTTCTCTAGGCAATTTTCTCAAGAGACAATTTTATTTTAATAACACCTTTTCAACGTTGCTGCCCGTTTAAAAAAAAATACTACCAATATAAAAGTTTTGACTTCTAAAAGGGAGAGGTAACCGGAGAAAACTATCATCCAGTATATCAAAGCTTTAAGAAATAAAATAATGCCATAATAGGCCAAATAAATGTGCCAAATTTTAACGCAATCAGTAAAAGGATTATGAAGTTATTAAATAATTAGTTTTATTTTTGACAACTTTGAAGGCCTGTAACTCAAAAAACCAAAAAGTTTTTATTTAACTTTTTTTTCGTATATTGTATTTATTTATCGTCATGAATATGCAGTCAAACGTTGTCGGTGTAATTTGCAGACAAGTTGTACACAGGGTGATTCACAAATGGTGACCAAAAATGAAACCTCGTATTCTTTGGTGAATTTTAAGGAGAATCTTTCCTATACAATTTTTATCTAGGACGCTTTGTTAAACTTCAAAAAATATTTTTATTTTTTTAAATAATTTAAAAACTAGTAAGTGAAATAATTTGAAGTTGAAAATGTATTTATGTAAACATTGTCCACAATCTGAAAGCTTTTCCTAAAATTTACATGCTCCAGTGGCGGAGATACAGGGTATCGGAGACATATTTTTCTAAATAAAATAATACATCACTGCTTTACGGTAATTACCATGATATTTTCGGATTCGTCTTTCAATTTTCTACAAATGTAGAATGTCTTATGTTTTCCGAAAAAAGCCTGATTTTTGAGTAAAAATTAAAAAACCAACTAAAAACGCTTTTATTTAAATGACATAACAAGCACTAATAATTGGGTTATTTATTCGTATAAAGAAATTAATAACATTAGTCATCATTTTAATGATTTTATTTGAATAAATGCTCAAAAATACCTCCGTTTCCACAAAACAGGCCTTACATCTTTTTAGCAACGAAAATGTAATTTGTTCGAAATTTATTGTAGCTTGAATCTGATGAAAAGCATTATTTATTCTTTCTTCTAACTGCTCAGAGTATCATAGTTGCTATCGCAGCCCACTATGTAATTTTAAAAAACATTATACTCGAATACCGAAGTGTGTTCTCAGTTGGTTTTTTAAGTTTTATACGAAAATCAGACCTTATCTATTTGTACTCAACTTTTTTGTATCAAGTACTGGAATTCAAAATTGCCTTATAAAGCAAGGGTCTAAAATCCCTTTTTACTACCCATTCCTACTCCACTGACCCACAAAAATTTGTAAATTTTACATTTAACAACTAATGTTGTTAAATGTTATTGTTTTAAAAAATGTTGACTATAGTTACAATTGTTTTTAATCTAGTGAAGTTCATAAAATTTTAACAACAATGTTCTTGTATCTCTTTTCTTTTATGGTTTTTATATTATAATCTCAGGTTATATGTCTTGAAAAAGGAAATAAACATTTCCGAAAACTTGGCAACAACATAGTGTTCTTATTATACTAGCCTTTAGCACTGTTGACTGCAATCCCAAATACACCACTGTTTTTTTTTTCCTTAACTAGTCAGTCAAGACTACCCTTCCTGCTCTATATATATACACAGGGTGCTCCATCTAAGAGGGATTTTTCTGTAACTTTGCAACTGTAAAATTTATTAAAAAAATGGTTTTAATAAAAGTTGCCTGGAATCATGTAGGCCATGTAAAGAAAATATTTTTAGCTTTTCAGGGCGTGGGCACTACTTAACTTTGTTATTTTAAATGGAACACCCTGTATATTATTGCATTTTTGAATTCCTTGGTTTAATATTAGGTAGAATTTATTAGTACATGGTGTTTAAAACTTACCGTTTTCGAGATAATCAGTTGTTTTTTAAAAAAATCACGATTTCAGCTCTCTAAATGAGGCCAGATAGCGTCTAAACCGTAAGAGTTAGAAACCTGCAGATTTCAGTTCGTTTTGGCATAAATTACTCTATCTTGTCATCCGTGAGCAAAAAGTTTACGTTATTCAGAGTCGGAAATACTGAGACCTACATTTAATAATTTTACAAGTCGAAAAACTTTTTTTTTTCAAATAGAATGATCCATATTAATTATCATAAGTGAATTCAAAATTGAATGCCCTTTTGACTGATATAAGGTTGTCCATACTTATCTCTAACAGTTTTCCTGAAAAATTAGGTTATTTTCTAAAGTCCAAAAAAGTCGCTATGTAACAGCGTCAAGGCCTTGCAAAACCACTTTTCTCACACATTTTATCAGGTCTGGGACTTACGGTGTTAATATTTATTTTCATGTTTAAAAAGTGGTTTGATAAACAAAAGTAAACCACTAACAACAATGAAACAAAACGCAAAACGAAACAAACTGAAACTCGGAACACAACAAGGAGAAGAATACTTGAAGTGTCCTCCATTTTTATTAATACACAAACGAATTCGGTTTTTAAAATACTGTTTAACATTGGTCAGCATGTCTGACGTAATTTCTTGAAATGCCACTGTAATGCACTGCCACATATCTTCCGCGGTAGTTGGTGGCGTAACGTAAACTTTACTTTTTATAAATCCCCATAAAAAGAAATCAAAATTTGTCATATCTGGACACCTTGAAGGCCAACTCACTAGTCCTCCGTACCCAATTCATCTGTTGGGAGCAGGTATTGTGAGGTGGAGCACCATCATGTTGCATCCACATTCTTCGAAGTGTAGCTAAAGAAATGTCGCCTAACAAATCGTTCCGCTTATCACGTAGAGGCGTATAATCCATGAAATGGAAATACACATACGCCTCTACGTGATAATAGGGACGAAATCTTCTAGTGTTTATTAAAAAGTTTAAATAAATTGCTGCACTTAGCTGCTGGTCAAAAAAAAATGGTCCAATGACATGGGTTCCCAAAATTGCTTTCCACACGTTCAAAGACCATTGTTGGCTATGAGTTGCCCAGAATTGATGAGGATTTACTGTGTCATAATAATGGCAATTATTATGACACGAAACCATTTTTATGAAAAGCCTCATCGAAGAACACGACCCGTTTAAAAAAGTCATCATCTTGTTTTAACATCTCAAGTGCCCACTGACAAAACTCCAGTCTCCGCTGAAAGTCTACTTTTAGTAACTCTTGGTGTAAAGATGTTCTGTGCTGTGCTTTTGTAAAATCCTATGTATCGACGTTGTACTAATACAATTGCAAGGCCTTCTTGACGCTGTTACATAGCTACTTTTTAGGACTTTAGAAAAAAACTTGATATTTCTAGAAAACTGTACATCCGTTGCACACATGCCAGAACCGGTTACCCGGCAGCAAGGTGTACAGAGTCTTATGGCAGCTTTCACACGTGACGGAAAGAGCCATCCGGCGAACGGCCGCCGGGTTGTAGCCGGTCGCCACCACTGCCAGCCCGGCTGCCGTGTACCGGCTTTAAATATTTGTACGCAACTTTGTCGAATGTTTGTTTGCTAGAAGTAGATATAGCATTCGTTATATCACTGCTTGAATCCAGACTTGTCCACTGGGACAAAACTGTAACCTTTTCATATTTTTTGGATATTTTTCATATTTTTTGTTTTTTTTTTATTGTGACATCGGCAATAGCCAAGCCACATAATTGCAATGCGTCTACGATTCATCTCTTGTCGTGATAAAAATGCAACTGAGACTAATATCGGCCAAACCGGTTTGAAAATTAATTTACGTGTGAAAGAGCCAGCGGATCCGGATAGCCGGGTCCGGTTAGCCGGTCCGGCTAATGTGCAACGAGGCTGAAAGAGCCAGCCGGATCCGGTTAGCCGGTCCGGCTAGTGTGCAACGAGGCTTAGAGATAAGTATGGACAACCTTATATCAGTCGAAAGGGTATTCAATTTTCCACTCAACCATGTCAATAAATATGAAAAAAAAAAGTTTTTCAACTCGTAAGATTATTAAATACAGATCTCAGTATTTCCGAGCCTGAATAACGTACACGTTTTTCTCACAGATGACAAGATAGAGTATGCCAAAACGAACTGTGAAAACTGCAGGTTTCTAACTCTTAAGGAGAGAACGCATTAGGCGGTCGCGGTCCCGTCCCGTCGCGGTCCGCTCTGGGCTGAGCTGATCGTGGTCTTTTTTAGAAACGAACGCATTAGGCGTTCGCGGTCCTGTCCCGTCCCGTCGCATCGCGGTCTGTTTTGGGCTGACCTGATCGCGGTCTTTATATTATAAAATCTGTCACATTTGACAATTGCACACAATTGCGCTCTCCTTTAAATAGTTGCAGTATTGTTTTAGTAGTGAAAATAAGTTCTATGGAAGCGGTGTTTTTATCAGCGGAAAAACATATTTAGGGGGTGAAATACACTCTCAAAATTGGCCCCCAAAAACAGTTTTTTCTAAATATCTGGGGTTCTAAGCAATATTTTGGAAAGAAGCAAAGTGGAAATTACTTTTTATAAAAAATAAATGTTTCACAAGTGATTCCCTGTTTGGGGATTGCTACTCTTATTTTTTTATTTCAGAATAACTATAATTTTCAAACATTTTTTATATATAGGTACAAAATTTATATATGCTCAAAAAGAATTCAAAATATGATTTATGTAAACAAATTGACAAAATTAAATTGACCTGTTTCGGGGTTTTCATTAAAATCTCTTTTTAGGGGGTGAACAACCCCCTAGTGTGAGAAATGTACGATTAGAATTAACATTATAAAATAAAAAGTTTTTACTTTTTCTTTAATCATACGAATATTTTTTTCTATTAGCAAAATGGATATAAACGGATGCAAACTACCCCTCATGTTCACCCCCCAGAAACATTATTTTCGTGATATCTCGAATTCTAATCAATATTTTGGAATGAAACAAAGTGGAAACTACTTCTTATAAAAAAGCAGATGTTTCACAAGTGACTCCCTTATTTTTTATTTCAGAAAAAATGTATTTTTCAAACAAAATGGAAATTATTTCTATTGAACAGAACGAATGATTCATAAGAAATCTTGCGTATAATTTGTTTTTTTTTTAGTGAAAATTTATGAAAATAAGAAATAAGTATAATTTTACCATCTACAAAACCGAGGATGCAATCCCTAATGTTCAATGGACTGTGAATCGTCCTATTCAATAGAGGAAGTTTTTCATTTTGCTTAATAAAAAAAATTGATAGGCCCAGTAGAGGACAGTGTCAACTTGACTTCGTTTTTATTTGAATGCTCGTTATTTTAATCTAAATATTATTAGGAAATTATTGGGTACCTATTATCTGTTTTTTTTAATAATTTTTATAACAGAGTAACTGAAATATGTGGATTTTCATTTTCATATCGATAACCAGTCCTGTGTGTATATATGTGTATACAGGGTGATTCAAAAAACCGCTGACAGACTTCTAGGGTAAGTAATACATGAAATATTAAGAAGAAAAGTCTTAATAAACATAGGGTCGCAAATGCCTCCTTAACAAGATACAGGGCGTCAAAGTTTCCGTAAAATTAAAGCGTAAAAATAACAAAAAGAAACTTATAATCTAGTTTACTTAACTCACTTGTACACATTGACATTAGTGACAGGCGATGTTTAATTTTATTTTGAATAGCACAAGCCTACTATGCGAAACTAAAATGAATGAAAATAAAATTGGATTTACAAATTTTCTACAAAGGTGTTTCTCTTAAAAATGGTTGCTTTAATCCAAATTTTGCAAGAGACCAATTCGATAGACAATTGAACACTTTACACGAAAATAGTGCCCGTTTGACAAAATTAGCAGTGGCGTAGAAAATATTTTTAAAAAAGGGTCACGTTGACCCCGTCTCTACGATAGTGCTGCT